GCTATCTTCGATTTGTTTGTCGACTAGTCGGTATCCGTCACTTGTCTTTACTAAACTAATTAAACAATAATCGTCTCAATAATTGACTATGAACTCTCGTTCCGTTATTCACATAATTGATCAGCGGACCTTACTAGCTTGATTAAATCAATGCTATTTCCATTACAGCTTAAGTGAGCCGTTCCTTTACAGCTTGGATGAGCCGTTTATTGGAGTGTCCGGTCGAATAATCAATTATTTTGACGATAGAAATTAAATGGATATTTATAATAAAGGATTTCGGGAGAAGATTAGTATTATTTATTTCACAACAATATTCGAATTTTTGATGTTTTCAAGACATGATGACTTTGATAACATGAAGATTTGACGATGGAATATGAGCTACTTATATATCTTCAAGCGTTGCGGGAAAAGCGTAACGCTCTTTTTAGCTATTTCTAATTATAGTATTTGTGCCGTTGCAGATTTTTTCGAAACGTTACTATTACTGCGTTTGTTGCGGATTTTACGAGACGCCGTTACTGTATTACTACGCTACTAATTTAACTTTTGTATTGCTGAGCCAAATTTAGTGTCGATCATGGGTGCGGAGGAAGATTTTACCATGTAACTTTTATTAGATCGGCTTGCCATAACACACACTCCCCCTCTAGTCACCTTCCATATAGTCACACCTCTTGGAGGTCCCAACCTCTTAATAAATATAACAATCTGCTCTCTATATAGTCATCATTTTTGTCAAAATTTTCCTATAATGGTCCCGATGGTGTGATTATAAGGATTTTCGGTAATTTTCCCGCGGATATATTGAGGCCAATGGTACGCTGCTTGTTCGTGAATTTTTTTTTTTGTTTGGCTTCGTTTTTAATTGCTCCTAATAATTTATATTCAACCTTAAAAAGCATTGCTAAATATAAAGAAAATATTAAGTAAAAGGTATCCAATCTGACGCAAAATTCTAAACTTTTGTATTCTTGGTTTCAGAAGTAAATTTTAAATCTCCTTTTGATATCTAATTCCTCTAAATCTTTAGTCAGTCTTATTGATGCATTTGATGACGGTGTCATGTTACGTTCCATAATTCCCATGCGCCCAATGACGGTAAATGACTTTATCTTGAATCTTACTGAGAGTTCAGAAATAATTATTCTTTTTACTTAATCTCAGAGTTTTTACTTCAATTACTCTTTCGAGCTAAAGTGGGGAATTTATCTCATTATAAACATAGAAATTAGTTTTGCTAGACGTAAATTACACTACCACATTAGTAGGTGTTATTTTTCATCGGTCAAAATTCCAAGACAATTTTTCTTATTTAAGTTGTTGAATAAATTACAACAGCCCATCAGCCGACGTCACTAATGTGAGGAACATTAAAGCAAAGACCGAGATATTTCTTACATTCGTAGAATAATACTGGGATATCCCAGCACGCATATTGCATCACAATCATGTGATTGTTGTTGTATAATGTCATAAAATTTAAGAAATTTGTATGAAGCACACGACGAAATTTATATATTAGCGAAAGTTTTTTGCATTCGATAGCACGTCTTTTGCGCTTTCGAATGAATGTAAATTGTGTAAATCTATTATGTGTATTGATTTTTTAAACAATTTTAAACTTTTAGGTCGCATAACTTGATGTTAGTTTTTAGGCAACACAAATTTAATTATATTATATTACTATTACCATTACTGTTACTAGCTAACACACTGCAATTTTTTGTAAAGCTTATATAAAAAATTTACTTTGAGACTAACCGATTCCTTGATCGATGGGTTGAAGGCAAGACGTTGTGTTGGGCGGTAAAAAGTTACATGAATGTTAGAAAAATTTTGAATGGTTTCTGTACTATGCAACGAAGCGTTGTCAAGGAGAAGAATGTTATTTCGTTGGGCATGCCTCATCTGTTCATTAAATTGTTGTAAAAAATGCTTATCTGCATCCACCCCTTTTTATTCCAATAATACCAGACAGAAAGAGTGGCTTTGTCGATGCCACGAAGTACTGTTCATCGTTCGCCATATTTTTATGTATTGTTTATCGTTGATGGTTAAACGATTTGCAACCTGATGACTATTCTATGTGTGGTTTTTGTCGAATAATTCATACCATGTCCAAACATACGACTTATGATTTCTGTCTGTACGCACAATTTGTCGAACAATTTTATGATCAAATATACAGCTTACGATGTTTATACTTAGTCAATACTATACGTATGCTTTATCAAATGTTGCGATTACTTTCATTGAATGATTTAGTTGAAGATATCAGGTTGTGCAGATTTTAACGTTATTCGATATACGATTCTCTTTATGACAGCGATACGTATACAATGTTTTTTGAAATAAACGTTCTGAAACTTATGTGAATGTGGCTTTGGGGATTGGACGGACTTTACATTATTTACATATGACAGCAACAAAACGTGAAAGTATAGTTAACCGTCATAATAGGCATTTTATATAATAGTCCGGAACTGAGACGACTCGGTCCAGAACTGAGATGGCTCGGTCCAGAACTGAGACACGTCTTGGTCCAGAACTGAGACACGTCTTGGTCCAGAACTGAGACGTGTCCCAAACTGAGGCACAACAAAAGCATCATTTGTTAACACTACATTTTCCATTTCACAGTTTTATAATCGCTTCCACTTCAGTATGCGACTGGCTAGTAGCTTAATACTAGTGGTGTTGCTGTATTTGTTAGTCGTCTTCAATTGCATACTATTTACCGCAATTGCTACTGCCGCATAGCTGCTTTCATTGCACCTGGCTGATTCGAGTGAATCTGAATATCGAAGCAAGCGCTTAATACGGTTTGACAATGCAGACTTATTCATTTAATGAAATTGATTGAAGTTTAACCAAGTCATTATGCGCTCATGCACGTATTATTTTAGCAATGTTAACCATGGTCTTGCTGTAATGCCTCTTTCAATTCTAAACATTGCATTAACTTGTAAGAGTTAATCACTTATCGAGTGTCATTTGTTGTTCGGTTAGCTGGCGGCTTCTATTGGTAGAGCCAAAAAAATGGCCCACAACAAGCGTTCTCATTTTAATTGGGTCACAACAACACTTTTTATTCTGCATTTGGTGAATATACCACGTAATTCGTAAAATTTGATAAACAATATTTATATAATATACATGATGAGTAATAATAGCTAAAATTACAACAACCCGCCTCATCTCCACTATAATCTTCCACTTCGTATTTTGATACTTCTTCAGCCTTTTCTTCTTCCTTGAGAACGTCTTCGCGTGGATTTCCTGGTACGCCAGAATCTTGCATTTGTTGGGACCCGGTACGAAATATGATTGCTAAAGGAGGAGCTTGTCAGAGCAGGAGCCCGCGGGGCTCCATAAATATTGGGATGAATTCACCGCATTTTAATGGTGAATTCATCCACATTAAAAATACAAAATTGTTTTTATTTAAAAAAGAATAAAATTTTTTCTCGACAGAGTAAGTTTGGTTTTTGTTTTGCGGGGGTGGGCTCTTGTAAGAAATTTATCGAGCCTTTGTTTGGTTTTTCGGGGGACAAGCACCTCATAAAAAGGTTTGGCATAGCCTTTGTTAAAAATGTAAACATTATCACTAAAAGTGTGTGTAAAGATCGCTACTGACAAGGAAATGGAGAGTTTAAATAGATTTTACAAATACCTTGCTACACCCGTTATAGCGTTCGACGCAAGCGACGTGTGTCTAATAAAATGCAAAACTCCAAAAGCGGTTTAGATCTGCATTATCGATTTACTGAAACAATAAGGCGATGGTTTGATTTGATAATTTATAATTAGCATCCAGAGAAATCCAGCCTTCCCTGTCTTTGTGGTTTTGTTTACAGTCCCCACGAACCTGTGGTCTAGATTTTCATATTCATGCAGTCTTCTAAGATTCTTTTTGTACGATAAGAATCCTCGCTGCCGAAATATTCGGAGCCATAATTGAACAAATATGGTAAGTAGCCTTCTATATCGATATACAACGCAGTACAGTATATACAGTATTTGTTTTGTTTTGTAATGTTACAACTGCACATGTCTGATTATCAAATATGTCGATTGATAAATATTTTTGTGCGATTCCAATTGTTTCCAATTGTTAAATCTCACCAATGACAACTAACAATTACGGCAAGACACCAAGAACACCTTTGGTGAAAACTGCAGCCTTACTACAAAGAATCTAACAAGTACAGTAATACACGGACGTTGTTATACGTAGGCTAACCCTTATCGGCACTAAACACTCCAAGTATTAATTAGTATTCGAAATACGAGACTTAAAATAATCACATGACCAGGAATAATGCGGTATTTCCGTGAACCGCAACTAGAAAGTTATAATTTATTCAGAGGCCTCATCTTGACAACGTTTCTTAAACCACATTTCCGCAGAACAAAATTATTCAATAATTGTTGTTATAACAACTATTAAATACTTTGTTCACGTGATGTGACTGAAAAGGAGGAAATCTGTTTCTATGGATGGGTGTGATAGTGACTATAGTCAAAATGTGCCTAAATAGGGGTAAATTTATCATAAACCCGGTTGGTTCCAACAAAAATGTGACTACATGGGGTTGTGACTATATAAGAGGTGCTTGTAAAGGGGTACGACTGTATCTTACTGGTTTTTTTTTTGTTCTAGACCGTATGTATTGTTTAGTTTGTTCTCGGTAGTAAATATTTTTATAGTATAAACGATTTTTTACTTAAGGATTAAATATATTCTCAAAGACTTGCAACAATGTTATCATACGTCCCAACCCCATCTTTCTTGCGCCATGTTTGTCCCGTGCATACTTTTAGTTTAGTATGTCAGGGGAAAACAACAATAATGATAACAACGATATATAATAATTATTATTACAATAAAGTCAATATGCTTTGTGCCAATCTCTTATCTGCAGCCTTCGAATATTAAATCTAATATTGAATGTTTACAATATCTTCGGTAGTTGAATGTTTGATTCTGCCCTTGTGGACTTCCAAGTCGTTTCTGTTTTTGTAATCTTGGAGCTTCGATTGTTTTTGTGTCATACATAGATGGATCAATCACGGCTGCCAATTACGATTTGTTCTTGTTTACGAATTTTTCAGGGGTACGATTACGCTTCCTACATCAATTGTTAAAACGCCTTCTTCCTTATAGAATTTGCCATAATAATGCTTTATTGACGCTTCAGTTAACTAAATAAGTAATCGTGCAGTATCAATCGAGCTTATCGTGAGCTAGTACAATCGAGATTATCGTGAGCTAGTACAATCGAGATGATCCATTTTCATGTGTTTGTTTATCTCGGAGGCTTAATAATTATTGAGCCCTAGCCTCAAGGAAAGGTTACATTAACGGAAGGACCCGGATGACATTAAAGGTAAGTGTTACAACGGTATGACAACATGGGTCATTACCATACTATCGCAATAAATATCTAAAGGGTAATTTGTACTTGGTCAAGTGCGTGTTTACCTATTCTTTTCATGGACTCCATTTAAATGTAAGGGGGGAGTGATTGTAATGTGAAATATTAATATTGATATTAATTATGTGATAATATTGACTCCATATTGTCAGATATACAGCATATTTCTATAATTAATACAATGTTCAATCAACATTTATGCGCTCTCCTTCTTTTATATTTAGCCAATTTATCGAAAGAACATTCTTAGGAAAATTGTATCTACGTAAAATATTGAGAACATGAGAATAATGGAATAATTACATTTGTGACTAAACGTCGGGGATTAAGATATATTTAGATTAGTATTGGTTCAAATTCGGGTAGATTCGGCTTACTTCTCCAAAAAAGTATGGACCTCCATAGCACAACCAATTAAATTTGTCAAAGCCTGTTCGATGTCGAATTTTAAGGTCCAAAAACAGACAGCATGATAATAAACCTGGAAAACATCAACCAATACTCTGCTTGTGTAAAACTGCATAACGTTGTGACAAAGAAACAAACGTTGTTGGGGCAAAGAATGTCATGTTAGATAAACGCAATCTGTGCAACGGAGTTCTTCAGAGAAACAATGTTATAATAATAATGGACAACCTATTCGTTAGAGTATTAATGCCATTTTATTAGGCCATTGAATTTTATTTTGATATCTGATAAACCATTTTATGACTATTATCCGGCTATTTTAACATTACTATAAGATACAAGCCCTTTTAGTCATGTGCCACGCTTATTGCATAAAAATAATGTGACTTATCCATTGTGTTTTCTTTGACTATGCACCTTGATGTAACGGCCTGCATGAAGAGGAGTATCACAAGATTGAGGCTTAGCAGTGCATATCATGCGATTACATGAGAAAGAAAGAATTTTCCGTACTGCTGATGCCAAAGTGACTAAGCAACAATGTCAATATGTTGTATGTTTATTATATCAGTTAACCAATTTATTATGTGGTATAGAGTGACAATTATCCACAATAGCCTTTCTTTGTATGCACAATGGCAATAAGTTCTGCGCCTAGAATGATACTACAGTATATTATAATATAGTCAAAAAATCTAATACTTATTGTAAATTTATCTTCTCAAAAATAATCAATTGATATTGCAAGTATTAATAATTGAATATCGGATTAATGTAAGTTTACATCACTGGTGTGTTACATTCATACTTGTATCTTTGATGCAGACAAAGAAATAATTGAAACATCAAGCACATTAACAAACCCAAACTTTATGTCTAGCTATCAAAATTATAATTATCGCGCAAACATCATGTCTGTATGGTTATAATACTAAACAATTGATAGTGGGATTATTAAATACAATAGAAAAGCTTCTCATTATTGGATATTAATATAATTAGTAACCTTTGTATGCAAGCAGTTTGTAAACAGTATAAATAATATGTGTGATTAAACTTAAAATTATTTATTTTATTAATAAGTTATATTTTATACATAATATTATTAAGGCAATATATCATGCAAAGTGCCAATTTCCGGTGGACAGACGGCACCTATCCACCCGGCAATATCTTATTGAGCCCATATAATTACGAACGTTTGTAATTTTAGGTCATTGTTTTCGCGATTTCAAGCTGCGTCGTTGTCAGGTCATTATATATGGTCCGACTTCTTAAATAGCCAAGTCGTTGACGCACTCTACCTTAAGGTGTTTGTAAAATTTGATCTCGTATGAGCAGATTAAATTTATTTATTACAGCCAGATTGGTTTCACTGGCCGCTGGACTTTCCTGTGCGCTTTTGAAGCACTCCGCAATAAGATGATCTCGTATGAGCAGACCAAATTGTCGATACAGTTGAAAGAACCTAAGGGCTGTTGGCATTACTTTTCACCGGCCGTTGGACATTCATAAAACTTTCGAGGTCGACTTTTTAAATAATTGTGAACGCCAGTCGTGAGCAGACCAAATTGTTGATACAGTTGAAAGAACCTGGCTGTTGGCATTACTTTTCACCGGCCGTTGGACGTCCATAAAACTTTCGAGGTCGACTTTTTACATAATTGTGAACGCCAAGTCATGAGCAGACCAAATTGTTGATACAGTTGAAAGAACCTGGCTGTTGGCATTACTTTTCACCGGCCGTTGGACGTCCATAAAACTTTTGAGGTCGACTTCTTAAATAATTGTGAAAGCCAAGTCGTTGACGTTTTGAAGAACTTTCGTCTTAAAGGTGCTAGCCAAAATTTGATCGTGGACGAGAAAACCAAATTGTTGATACAGTTGAAAGAACCTGGTAGTTAACATTAGTTTTCACCGGCCGTTGAACGTCCATAAAATTTTCGAGAATAAGCCGTCAAAGTTACTCGGCAATTGCTCTCATGGGCTTGCATAATTTTATCTTATTATTAATGCTTGTTCATCAAACGTCGGCAAACTTTAGATAAGCCACCAAACATCGGAAAACTTTCGAGGGATATAAGCCCTTATATTTTAACTTAAATGTCCTTGGAATTTCCATGTTAATCCAGGCCGCATATTATTTGCAGCTGGATGGTTTTGCTTACATGACAGCCAAAATAGCTAACATTTTAAACCATAGTTATTTAGTCATTTAGTCTACGCTAGTATGACGGATTTATCGAAAGTTTAACGTCTTCAAAGTTGTTCGGCGTTGTAATTTGGTTGCGGGCGAAATCCAACATGGCCGATTCTGGAAAGCCGTTGTTTTTGCTGGCCGTCTGTGTAGGAAAGCTTCCTAGTACCATTTCGGCATTTGTATGGTTGGTACCAAACATCGGTAAACTTTCGAGAGATATAAGATAAGCCGTCAAAGCCACCCGCCAAGTTGCTTGATAGTTGTTGAATTTCAATAGAAATCTAAATACATTTATGACCAAAGTTAGTAAGCTAATTAATACAATAAGCAAAGAAGAGAAATACCAACAATAAAATCATGTCATGTAATTCTTACCAAGAATGAGATAATTGTTGCGTGTATAAAAAGAATGATTTGTTAAAGAATAGCAAGACAGTAAGTCAAAGCCATAACAACAGATGGGGGGATTGTCAGATACTTTTATATGAATTGGTCCAATATAATTAGTCTTATTGATTCTATATTCTTACAGTATTCCCTGATAAGCCATTGCTTTTACTAAATAGTCACCAACAAAGAACACAGTTAAAATGTATGTTGGCGTAAAATATTTGCTTTTAAGTTTTCAAACTTTTTAATTGAGATGCACATATAAAAAATATATGCATATATCGTTTTTGCTCACTATATTGTCTCACATTCGATAGAAGATCGTATATCTAAATGGAGATAGTCGGAACAAAGTTATCATAATAGCAGTGAACGCATTCTCTGTAAAACTTGCTCAATACCTCTTCTCGAGAAACGTTTCTATTCGTATTTCATATACTCAAAGAGATGCAAATGGTCATAGGTCAGCTATCTATTATCTCTCGTGGGGGATGGCAAATTAAGTAAGAAATTTTATTTCGTTTAGTGTTAGTATGAGAGTTGGTGAGGTTTTATTTTGTGGCTTTTCGGTTATTCAGGTTTATGGTATACTGTATCGTATGGTAGCATTAATATGAGAATTTTATTTTGATTTAATTATATACAGTATGTCAACCTCCCCTACAGTCACACCGGCAAAACTGGTGACTGTATGGAAATGTGACTGTATAGAAAGGAGGGTTGCATATGGTCATGTGATTAAAATTATTTCTTCTCTCTTTAAATTTTTAAAACTATTTCCAAAGTAAGTGTCAATTTGTTATTGATGCTTTGAAGATACTCTATAGAAAGTACGAATTTCTCAATAATATTAAACCAGTTTGCTATACTATGTTGTTTAACATATTCATAAATTTCATGTTCATTATCGAGGCTCAAATGAGGAGAATTAATGTGTGATGATTTTTAAAGCAACAATCATGTAAGCTGGTCAGCATTTGCCGAAAAATCAAAAAGTCTTTCGGCACTATGATTATGATACTCAAATTACCACTTATTTTACCGCACTAATGAAAAACTAAGTGGCAAATGTGCCCAACCAATTCTCATAAAAAAAACTATTATACATGCGTTATTTTCAATCTTTTGGTCACTTTATGCTGAATATGGAAATATAAACACTAAATTTTGAATTTTACGCAATACCAGTGACTGTAAAGGGGGGATTTTTCATATTGTTCCATAGTGGTGGGGATTCCAAAATCGGGTGACAGTGACTCACTCTAAGGGAGGAAAATCACTATAAAAATGGTAGGGACCGAAACAGCCTGTGACTGTATATGGAATAGCAGTACCTAAAAAAACTATTATTCCGATCGTCAAACATCTTCGACCTATTGGCTTCCTAGGCTTACTCTCAAACCTTGCTTTTCCAACTCCGATTCGGCTTTGGCTTCTTCAATATCATTACTACCAAATCCCTGCCGTTCGCCTGCTACTCACTTTCTTCTTCTCATTAAAACTTGATCCACAAAATTACTATTGTGAGAAACCTTTTGTATTCTTTCATAATACAAGTCAAGTAATTAATTGACTTTACTCGAAAAAAGCTTTATTAAATTTCTGGTGGTGGAAGGACACCAGGTTGTTATTTTTCTGTGTAGTAAAATTTTAGGGGTAAATGGTTTTAGGTTGAGTTTTGTGGTCAATGTCTGATACAGTGTGTTACAAAAGTTTTTGCAAAATTTAATATTTATCACTACGGCACAACCATTGCTCTGAGTAATATGCAAGATACTGTACCTCGTTTTAAAGTTAAAAAGTTGTAGTTTTTATTGGTATTGATTAAAATGAGATTCGTTCACCGTTTTTTTCAATAATTGCTTCACATCTCTTTCGCATTGACTTTATTAAATTTCTTAAGACATCATCAGGAATGGTATTCCATTCCTCAACCATAAACGCTTTAATTCACCACGGTTTTGGGCATTCTTTTTTCCACCTTATCCTTAACAATAGTCCAGAGGTTTTCAATGGGGTTGAGGTCAGGACTGTTACTCGGTCAGTCAATAACTTTAGGAACATTTTTCTGAAGGAATGATTTGGCTAGGCGGCTGGTATGTTTTGGATCGTTATCTTGTTGGAGCCGCCATTTTTTCCCATTATTTGATAAACCTCTGGGATATGTATTTCTACATAGAATTTGTTGACCTTGTATTCTCGAATATGCCGCAGTAATCTTCTTTGGTCGACTACTTCTACTATCAGGTGTGTTGTTACCTTTTTTTTCTAATTTTTTAATATTATAATACAGTCATCCCTCGTTTATATCCCCACTTTGGGACGGAGACTTTTTGGGGATATATCTGAAGTGGGATATAACTGAGTATAGGCATTTTTAGTTTAGTGGCACAAGAAATTTTATTGGTTAATATACTCCGTTGGCGCTTTAACTTTTCTAACTCATATAAACGACGAATTATATCACGCATATATCTCATCGTTTTCAGTCGTAAATTCCCTTTATTTTTAGCTGTCTCAAGTGCTTGTCTTCCTAATTGTATAGAAATTGGCTCTTCCTCCTCGTCGATTGAGTCTTCTTCTATTTGCACTTGTGTCTGCTGCGACACAACTTCAGCCACCAGAAGTTCTTCAAAAATTTCCTCTTCTGTAGGCACATTTGCGCTTATTAAACCATAATCTACTAACCAAAAAGAGGTAGACTGACTATATATAGAAATAGCTTGATATTTATGTAACACAATTGACATATATAGTAAGGTAAATTTGCCGAGGGAATATAACTGAAGTATGATCACTATATATTTCTATATGATATGGGAAATTGGGCTCTGTGAAAATTTGGGGATAGGGATATATCGATTGGGATACAAGTGAGGGAAATTTATACTGACATATAATAGAGGAAATCAGTCCAGCCCCAAAGCTGGAATATATCCGAGGGTGGTTTACAATAGGGGGGGGTTATAAACGAGGGATGACTGTATATACACTTACCCGAAATAAGTAACGGACCCCCTTTAATTTTAGTTTGTAGAATACAATACATAATAATTTATTCCAAATTTTTTATATGTTGTTGAGTAACTTTCTGGGAATTTATTACATGTTTAATATTTGGTTGGCCAGCCGTTATTAGCGACACATGCTTCAATTCTTCTTGGCATGCTTTTAATTAAATCCATATATACGGAGTCCGGAATTTTGACCCACTCCTCCAATGAATCGTTCGTGTAATTGTTGTTTTAGAAAAACCCAACATTTTATTAATGTTGTTTCGAGAAAAACCAGCTTTATGAAAGCCGATAATTTGGTAGCATTCACTTTCAGTCAAGTCAGAATTTTTAGGCATCTTGATATCTTGTTGATTTAACGAACTTGACGTGTGTTTATATATTGGTCAACTTGAGTTTTTATTTTGTAAACAATCGACAATTAACAGACGTGACGTGTAATTTGTTCTGCATATTTACAGAACCTAGGTAATACAACATATAAAAAATTTGGAATAAATTATTATGTATTGTATTCTACAAACTAAAATTAAAGGGGGTCCGTCACTTATTTCGGATGAGTGTAAAGTAATAATTTATTCCACTGCAGGCAGACTTTCTAAATCAATTACTACTGCTCAGAAAGCGCTACATCCAATCTTCAAGTGTTATAATTACATAATATTTTTGATTTGCCTTTATCTGATAATTATTCACGTAACCATCATCAACAGGAAGAACAAAAGCAAAAAATCATGCGCTATCGATAGCAAATCATAAATTTGCTTTTCTGACCAGTTGTATTACTATGCAATTATGCAAACCATCGTGATTAACAAAACGTCCTAGCTAATAACACTGAATTTGAGAACATTATTGCACTATGCACAGTATGTCAGACTTTATTTGTAACGATATTGTTGCTTACGCACTTTGGCAACAATTAGCTTAGAATACTGTAAACCGTTTAATCTGGCACATTATATTGTATAGGGCGTCCTTAACGCACGACAAATTTATACACTCCAGGTTAAGGACGTCCTATACAGTATAATACCTTTTCTATATAAACATTTTTCATCTCGTACTTACGAACAAAGATATAATCTAATCAATTTTATGAATCAACTCATCCTACAAGAAATAGCACCCAATTAGCATTTTCTGGCATTGTTAGTTTTCGTGTAGCAAATTTTCTCCTTCATCACTTGATACCTGATATGTCAATGATACAGCATACTCGTATTTTCATTCGTCTTTCTCAGATCAATATTTTGCACTAATCTTCTATTATCAGCTTCTGGGAATCCAATGCGACCATTTTTATACTGCCGCAATATTTTGTTGTCATGACCCAGAATTTTCTTTTTGAAAACAATAAATAAAAATAATGTGAATAAAGTAGAGTTAAATTAATAGTAATAATAACACTTGTGAATGATAGTCGAAAAGAACGAATATGTATTGATGGGTGAACAACCCGTCATGCGATTTTCATACTATAATCAATAACTGTTCTATACTCCAAATAAAAAAGCAAAAACCCGCTTGTAAATCGCATATCGAACGTTGCTTGGTTGATTATTTTGCTTTATCGCTAAAATTTAAAAATTATCCAAGTTCGGCAATAATTTCAGTGATTACTCTTATTGTCCAAATTTCGCCAAACATCACCAAGCACCGTTAAAGTTTATTTTAATTTTCCGATAAAAGATAATTTTTTCTTTGTCATAACTTGTTTATTTGTTGTAAACATTTTTTTTTTTTGATAATTGTTTTTTGCTCCTGGACAAGCGTTAAGCCGCACACCTTTCTGTAATGCTGTTCGAGATTTCTTGAAATGACTTTTCTGAAATATGAACGTTTGGAACAAAAATCTAAAACTTTTATTTACTCAATCGATCACAATAATATTTCATCTATTAATATTTCATCTCGACAAACTACAATTGTTAGCAACAATTCCCCCTTATTTATCTACTTTATTCACTTAATAAAGTCAAGAAACTCGTTAACAATTGCAACTCTTACTTCGTGTGGGCTAACCAATTATGTTATAGATACTCAAAACATAATAAACGCGATTAATTTATATATTCTATAATAATACAGTAATTAACGGACACTAAATTCTTGTTCAAGCTGTATTAATGTTCTGTTTAGCAAT